TTCACCCAGCGTTCTTCTCGACCTTTCTCTCACCATCATTGGCTTCGACTCTCCGCCATTCGACCGAACCGAACCGAACCGAGGAGGAGGAGGAGGAGGAGGAGGAGGAGGTTGGCGTCGCCGCTCGCCCTCGCCCGACCTGCCTTCTGCCGGCCGCGCCGCGCCGCGCGCGCCGCACCGGGCGCCGTCCGCCCTGCCACGGCCGCCTTCGCTGCATCGGGAGCCTCGAGACGGGGGGGCCACTGCTCGGCCACGCGACGCGAATCTCCATGATCCTCCCCCTACCCCTCCTGCCCTCCTCCCTCCCTGACCCCTGGGATCCGACGTCGCGAAGAAGCTTCCACGTCAGGAATAACTACGTACGCCCTAGACCCGATGTGTCTAGTTCTCTTCCGAGCCACATCGATATATATTATGTGGCCTCGCATTGGCGGCGCGCACAGGGGGGTAGGGAGAGGAGGGAAGGCTTCTTAGACGTGCCCCTGCTTCTCAGAAGGCGCTGGCCTTTACTATAGATGTAAGGCCGGCGCCTGCTAAGAAGCAGCCTCCTTTCTAAGAAGCCTTCCCCCTCCTGGGTCGGTGGGGAGGGAGGTTTCGCTGTGTCGGGAGGGATTCGGCTTCGCTGTATCAGCATCCTGGCACTGGCTTGCGCACTTGGCCGTGCCCTCCCCCCCGCGACCCCCAACGCCGCTCGCCAAGTGCCACTTCCTGGCCCAGGGTCTTTCTTGTGTGGACAGCCGGCGCGAAGGTCAAGAACGCCTCGAGCTGTAGGAGACGGGGGTGAATGCAGACGGGGTCAGCCAGAGCACTGGGTCTTGCAGGATCCTGCAGAGCCAGGGGTGCATTGATTTAGGTTAGGGGTGCAGGATTCGGCAGGATCCTGCAGGATCTTGCAGGATCTCGCAAGGCCTGACTGACCCGGGTTTGCGTTGACCCGGGTCGGTGCGTCCCCGATTGTATGGCCTACTAGTTTCACATAAGAGTGACCCTTTGCCAGAGTGGCCTATGGTGCGGGCCCACTGGGGCACCCCGATCGCTGAATGCGATGCGATGGCAGCGGCCTGCGCGCTTGGGTTTCGCCCACTCGCGCCCCCCAAGAGCCGCGCACCAAAGTATCCTGACGAAGGGCCCAACCATGCGCAGTTGTGAGTGCCGCGCTGTGGGTACCGCTTTCGGTGGAGCTCCCTATGGCGCCACGAACCGTGCGAGGGGTGTGCCAACATGGGCGTCGGGCGCACGCGGCCTGTGTCACTGGGGCCTTCGGTGGAGCTCCCTATGGGGCCACGAACCGTGTGTGTGTGTGTGTGCCAAACTGGGTGTGGTGTGCCAAACTGGGTGTGGAACCGCATGCGACTTTTGCCAACTGGGGCTTTCGGTGGAGCTCCCAGCAGGGCCACGAAGCGTGTGAGGGGTGTGCCAACATGGGGGTGGAACCGTATGCGAACTTTGCCACTGGGGCCTTCGGCGGAGCTCTCTATGGGGCCACGAAACGTGTGAGGGGTGTGCCAACATGGGGGTGGAACTGCATGCGAATTTTGCCACTGGGGCCTTCGGTGGAGCTCCCTATGGAGCCACGAAGCGTGTGAGGGGCGTGCCAACATTGAAGTGGAACCGCATGCGAACTTTGCCATTGGGGCCTTCGGTGGAGCTCCCTATGGGGCCACGAACCGTGTGAGGGGTGAGCCAAAATGGGCGTCGGGCGCATGCGGCCTGTGCCACTGGGGCTTTCGGTGGAGCTCCCTATGACGCCACGAACCGTGTGATGAGTGTGCCAAATTGGGCGTCGGGCGCATGCGGCCTGTGCCACTGGGGCCTTCGGTGGAGCTCCCTATAAGGCCACGAACCGAGTGAGGGGTGTGCCACAGTGGGGGCGTTGGGCGCATGCGACCTGTGACCTGCGCCACTGAGGCCTTCGGTGGAGCTCCCTATGGGGTCACGAACCGTGTGAGTGGTGTGCCAAACTGGGGGCGTCGGGTGCATGCGACTGCGTCACTGGGGCTTTTGGTGGAACTCCCTGTGGGGCCACGAACCGTGTGATGAGTGTGCCAAAATGGGGGCGTCGGGCACATGCGGCTTGTGCCACTGAAGCTTTCGGTGGAGCTCCCAGCAGGACCACGATGCGATTGAGGAGTGTGCCAAAATGGGCGTTGGACGCATGCGGCCTGCGCCACTGGGGCATTCCGTGGAGCTCCCTGTGGGACCACGAACCGTGTGAGGGGTGTGCCAAAATGAGCGTCGGGCCCATGCGGGTTCTGCCACTGGGGCCTTCGGTGGAGTTCCCTATGGGGCCACGAACCGTGTGATGAGTGTGCCAAAATGGGGCGTCGGGCGCATGCGGCCTCTGCCACTGGGGCCCTCGGTGGAGCTCCCTATGGGGCCACGAATTTCGTGGGGGGTGCGGCGCCGGAATGGTGGACATGCGGAGAGCAGAGGCAAGGCATGGGAGGAGGGAGGGGGAGGTGGAGGAGAGGAGGAGGAATGAAGGAACGCGGGGCGCTGTCTCTTCAACACGAGGACCCAACACCAGAGGATGGTTGGGAAATAAGGTCACTTTTGCCAAGAGTCACTCTTCCGCCTTCGCTGTATGGGTCTACGGCAGGTTCGCGCCGCGTTGATGCGACGGCGATTCCGCCGTGGGCGTTCAAGGTTGAACGCTGCCAGTGGCCCAGGTTCGGCCATTATGGAACGATCTGGCGCACGAAAAGTCGCCAATTGTTCAAGGTTGGAGGGGGGAGGGGGAGGGGGAGGGGGAGGAGCTTCGAGATTCGCAGATGTGGAGTTCGGGCGATCGTCGATTTTTGTAAGGCGCCTGTGGGGTTCGGTGCCAGCGCATTTCCCTTAGTCACGGGCGAGGAACGGTACAAGTGGCACGCGTGCCTTGGCTCTTGCACGAAGAGGCAGCGATGGGGCGTGGGCTGGGGGCAAGCCAGGGGAGAGGCAAGGGGCACCATGAGAGAGAGGATGAGGCGAAGGTCCTGGCGGAGGTGGGGCACGAGCAGCAGGAGAGGAGAGGAAGAGGAAGTGGCGGAGGAGGGGGACGTGGAGGTGACGCAAAACGAGGAGGAGGAGGAGGAGGAGGAGGACGCAGCCGGGAGTAACAGGAGGAGAGAGGAGGAGGAGGAGGAGGAGGAGGAGGAGGAGGAGGAGGAGGACGAGGACGAGGACGAGGACGAGGACGAGGAGGAGGAGGAGGAGGAGGAGGAGGAGGAGGAGGAGGAGGACGAGTACGAAGAGGAGGAGGCGGCAGGAGCTGGTGAGGGTGACGAAGAGAGCGGTGGAGATGGAGGATCAGCAGGAGGGGAAGGGGGAGGAGGCGGAGGTGAAGGACCAGCAGCAGCAGCAGGAGGGGGAAGAGGTGGAGGATGAGTATTTGGAGACGCAGCAGGAGGAGGAGGAGGAGGAGGAGGAGGAGGAGGAGGAGGAGGTGGGGGTGGAACCGCATGCGAACTTTGCCACTGGGGCCTTCGGTGGAGCTCCCCCTGGGGCCACGGAGCGTGAGAGGGGTGTGCCAACATCGGGGTGGAGCCGCATGCGAACTTTGCCGCATGGGGCCTTCGGTGGAACTCCCTATGGGGCCACGAAGCGTGTGAGGGGTGTGCCAACATCGGGGTGGAACCGCATACGAACTTTGCCACTGGGGCCTTCGGTGGAGCTCCCTATGAGGTGTGTGTGCCGAAATGGGGGTGCAACTGCACGCGAACTTTGCCACTGGGGCCTTCGGTGGAGCTCCCTATGGAGCCACGAAGCGTGTGAGGGGCGTGCCAACATTGAAGTGGAACCGCATGCGAACTTTGCCACTGGGGCCTTTCGGTGGAGCTCCCTATGGGGCCACAGAGAGAGGAGGGAGTAGAGGGAGGAGGAGGAGAGGAGGAGGAGTAGAGACGCGGGGCACTGTCTCTTCAAGGCGAGGACCCAACACAGGATGGTTGGGAAACAGCCCGAGGGTCTAACAAAAGCCTGAGGGTATAACATTGGCCTGGCGAAGGACCCAACCAAATGCAGTTGTAGGTGCCTTTGTTGTGAGTACCGCCTTCGGTGGAGCTCCTTATGGGGCCAGAACCGTGTGAGAGGTGTGCCAAAATGGGGGTGGAACCGCACGCGAACTTTGCCATTGGAGCCTTCGGTGGAGCTCCCTATGAGGCCACGGAGCGTGTGAGGGGTGTGCCAAAATCTCCCGATGGGGCCACGAACCGTGTGAGAGGTGTGCCAAAATGGGGGTGGAACCGCATGCGAACTTTGCCACTGGGGCCTTCGGTGGAACTCCCCGCGTGTGAATGTTTATGCCGAAATGGGGGTGGAACCGCATGCGAACTTTGCCACTGGGGCCTTCGGTGGAGCTCCCTATGGGGCCACGAAGCGTGTGAGGGGTACGCCGAAATGGTGGTGGAACCGCATGCGAACTTTGCCACTGGAGCCTTCGGTGGAGCTGTACGTCGAAGCGGGGGTGGAACCGCATCCGATCTTTGCTATTGGGGCCTTCGGTGGAGCTCCCTATGTATGGGGCCACGAAACGTATGAGGGGTGTGCCCGAAATGGGGATGGGACCGCATGCGAGTTTTGCCACCAGGGCCTTCGGTGGAGCTCCTTATGGGGCCACGAAACGTGTGACGGGTGTACCGAATTGTGGTGGGACCGCATGCCAACTTTGCCACTGGGGCCTTTGGTGGAGGTCACTTTGGGGCCACGAAGCGTGTAAGGGGGCGTGCCGGCATGGTTGACATGCGGACGGAGGGCAGAGGCGAGGGAGGGAGGAGGGAGTTGAGGAAGGAAGGAAGGAAGGGAGGGAGGAGGGCGGGGCACTGTCTCTTCAAAGCGAGGACCCAGCACCACAGGATGGTCTTGAAAAAACTCATGGTTTTCGTTATACCATCGGGATTTTCGTGCCCTCGGTTTTATTGTTACCCTCGGGAGGCCGCCAGACGCAGCAGAAGCCAAGCCAGTGCCTCCCGACGCCGCCCCGACGAGGGCGAGGGCGCTCCTCGGGGAACCGCCGCCGCCAGGCCTGCGCGTCCCGCGACGAGTACGAGCGGCGCCGCCAGCTCGAGGAGCAGGCCGCTGGGGCGCGGGGCCCCGCCGTGGCCGCGGCCGCGGCGTCGCCGTCACTGTCGTCGCCGCCGCCGTACCAGAGGTCCGACGCTCCAAAACACAAATTGGCGCGGGCGGTTTTGGACCGTTTTCGGCCTCTGGGGGCCCTCGCCAGGCCTCGGGATCGTCAAGAAATGGCCCAGGACGAAACACCCTTTGGGGAAGTGGTCCAGACCTCCGGGACCGACGCATCGAAAAAGTGGAGCAGCTGGATGTCTTGTTTGGCCATGGCCGTCGTTGTCGTGGTTTTGTCGTTGCGGGTCGCCGTCGCTGTCGTCGCCGGTGTCATCATCGCCGTCGCCGTCGTCGCCGTCGCCGTCGGTGTTGTCTGCCCCATCCTCGTCTGTCGCATCGTCGTGCTCACGTCCCCATCTGTTTCCTCCTCCTTCGGCTCCTGCTCATCCTCGTCGTCGCCGCTGTCGTCGCCCTCCTCGTCTAGCCCGCTCAGCTCTCGGAGCCCATGCTGAGCCCAATTCAAAATGGCGGCCGATCCGCAGGTGCGCGCACAGCTCGTGCGGCGACGCGCTTCGATGTTGATGGCTTTGCGGTTGCTGCGGGCCCGCATTTTTGGTTGAATCATCGTGGGACCTCGCCTGTCCTGAAAACAGCGGTATTGGGATGGCTTTGCGGTCGGTGCCGCCGACCTTGTATGCTCGGAGGAGAGGCAGATGAGGCACCAGGATCCAGCCAGAGTTGATTCATGACAATTTTGGGGTCCGAAAACGGTGGGGAGACTAGCGCGAGGGGCATGGTGGAGCGAAATCGGAGCTGAGATCCTCTAATGTGGCGGCGCTGGGTACGTCTTGAAATGGGTGCTCGGGTAAGTATCGAAGCTGAGCCGAAGTGGTAGAAGTAGCTCTCAAGGGGTCCTAGTGGATGTTTCTGGGGTTGCGGTCGGGCGTCCCGAACCCCGGGCCAAAAGGAGGGTGCTTCCCCGGCGACGACGCCGACGACGACGACGACGACGACGACGACGACGACGACGACGACGACGACGACAACGAACGACGCTCGCGAGCCCTCGTGGGGGCGGTTGTGGGCCCTGTTGGCCTCTCTTGGGAGGCATTTTTGGCCGTCTAGTGGCATTATTGGCCCGTCTTGGGGCCCTCTTGGGCCGTCTTGGGGGGCCTCCTTGGGCCGTTTGGGAGCGTTTGAGGTCGTGTGGGGCTCGTCTTGGATCCCTTTCGGGCTCTCCCGAGATGCCTCTTGAGCCATCTTGGGACCTTCTCGGGCCTCCTTGGTCGTCGTGCGGCTTTCTTGGGCCGTCGTGGGCCAATTACCACGGAGATGTTCTTGGTCATTTTCGAGCGATCGGGGGGCCTCCTTGGGCCGTCTTGGAGCGTGAGACGCTCGAAAAGCCTGAACTCGAAAAGTTTGATTTGTGTTGGTTATGGGAATTTTGAATTTTCACCCATCGGGGCTCTCTTGGGGGTGCTCTCGGGGCTGTTTTGTAGCGTCTTGGTGGGTAGCTCTGGGGCCGTCTTGGGGGGTAGCTCTGGGGCCGTCTTGGGGGGATCTGGGGCGCCTCTTAGGGCAGAGGGGGTTGGTGTTCCCCCTCTTGCGGCTCTTTGGGGCTCTCTTGGACCGTCTTGGTCGGACAGGGGGGGTCACAACCCCTGGGATGCCCCTCCGGGCGACGCTCCGCCGGGATCCTCCACCCAGCGGGGAAGGGATCAAAAGCAAGGGGTTTTCTTTTCGGCTGGATTACAGCGTTCGATTTGCGTCTGGCCGAATCACTTGAGGAGGAAGGCCCAGGAAAAGGGGAAGAGTGGCAACGACGACGGCGACGGCGACGAAGACGACGACGGCAAACGACTCCAACTGAACAGAGATTTGACGTTGAACATTAGGGGGACCTTGACTGTCTTGTACGATGGCAGTATGTTCTCGTGTTCTGATGGAGGTTCGACGTTGATTCGGCGTGGATTTGACGCACGTTCAACGTCGCCGAATTCGACGCGGATTCGAAGTGGATTCGTCGTTGAATGTATTCGGATAGCGGCGCGATGAGACAGACAGGCCCCCGCAGGACTCAACATAGCGAGCCTTGCTTACACCCATGCAGATGATGGTGCGATGCTGCCAGCGAGAGTTCCCGTCCTTAGACCATGCCACCAGTCGGCGGCGCGCCCAGGGGGGAAATGAGAGGGGGCAGGCCTTCTCAGCAGGCGGCGGGGCTTCTCAGAAGCACTCGCGCCTTCTCGAAAGCCCCCTGTGCCTTCGGAGGAGGGTCGGGACACTTTTTGGTACGCTCGATCCCTTTCTGAGCCTTCTGACAAGGCCCGCCCTATTGGAACGATGATGTGGGGAAACAGTACAGTTGTCTGAGCTTGCCTATACCGTTGGGCCTCCAGAACAGGAGCGCGCATGTATGAGCACCTTGGCAACCGAAGCGCTCGCAACGCGTGGCGTATCGCTGGGGCTGCCGCGGCGACACGCTAGGCAACAGTTCCTGACCAGAGCAGCTTCGACTGAAGAAGAACATCATAAACACAGTTTTTAGGAGCTCCGCGCTGAATTCTTGGATCGGCGTTGGGCCTCCCCTAGGCGGCGCCTCTGGCGCGCTCTGCGCGCACATTCGAGTGATCAGGTCTTGCATTGCGTTCCCGTCCACGTGGCTTCCCGCGCTGGAGGGTTAAAACAACCTGTGCAAATGATCTGGTGTAGGCAGTGTGGTGCAAGTTGTGTGGTCCTGTAAGCGATGCAGTGCAAGCTTCGTCGTGAAGGTATACGCTGTGTGATACATTTCATGCAGTGCAAGCTAAAGTTGTACAATCTAAGTTGAGCAAGCTATGTGGTGTAAGCCATGTGGTGCAAGCTGCGTGGTGCAAGCTACGTGATGTAAATTACGCGGTACAGGGTGCAAGCTGTGTGGTGCAAGTTATGTGATGTAAGTTGTTTTGTGCAAGCTATATGGTGTAAGTTCTGTGGTGGAAGCTGAGTGCACCAGGCGAAACCTCTGTTGACCCATCCAATTGGAGAGGCCTGACGGCCGGTGCCGCCGACCCTGATCGAAAGGGCTAGGAGTGGGGGGAGGAAGCGGAGGATGAGGAGGAGGAGGAGGAGCAGGAGGAGGAGGAGGAGGAGAAGGAGGAGGAGGAGGAGAAGGAGGAGGAGGAGGAGGAGGAGGAAGAGGAGGAGGAGGAGGAGGAGGAAGTGCATCCTTTGTGTGCCCGCTCGAAGAAAGTGCGCCCCGGGAGTGTGATATTCTGACTTGGGACGTGCTCCCGGAAGAGGAAGAAGTGCATCTCGGGCGTGCCCGCTCGAGGAAAATGCGCCCTAGGGGGGTGGTATTTTGACTCGGGGCCCGCTCCCGGGACGCCTCTGCGGGAGGAGGAGGAGGAGGAGGAGGAGGAGGAGGAGGAGGAGGGAGGAGAGGAGCAGGAGGAGGAGGAGGAGGAAAAGGAGGAGGAGGAGGACCAGGAGGAGGAGGAAGTGCATCCCGTGCGTGCCCGCTCGAGGAAAGTGCGCCCCGGCGGGCGTCGTATCTGCCCCGCCCCCCCCCCCCTGCGGGGAAGGGATCAAAGGGAAGGGGCTTCCCTTCGACTCCACTACGACGTCGTTTAATTTCGCTTTGGATAGCGCGCTTGAGGAGGAGAGCCCTGGGAGGGGGAGAACGGAGACGACGGAGACGACGAGTCGAACGGAGAAGCCCCTCACACAGGCCGACAGGGTCGGCGGATTCCTCAGAAGTGCTCCGAGGTGCAAGCACTGTTTAGAGAGCAGTGTGAGACTTTCCTCCCTCCATCATCCCTCTCCCCTCCCTTGTCCGCCCATCCCCTGTTCCCTCTTCAAAAGTCGACCCTCTGACCTCTTCTGAGATCCATCCTCGCCCAGTGTTTCGAGCTGCGCCCAGCCGTGACCACGAGAAGCTTCTTTGAAGCCTATGAACGTAGCAGAGCGTACACCTGGAACCTCGATCCTCCTCCATGTTCTTCAAACCCCTGACAGCGTGATTCTCTCAGAACTTGTACCCATTCGGCCGAGCCGTTCGTTGACAGTCCCAGGCTTGGGAAAGGCCCCCGGAGGCCGATGCTGTCGAACCACGCGTCGATATTTTTCACAACGCGAGGGGGCTTCGGTCTCGCGTTCGTCCTCTCGGCTACCCGTAAGAGTAGCCCCTCTGCGGGAGTGAGCTCTGGTGCGGGCCCACGGGCCCCCACCCCCCGCATCCCAGCACTGGCGTGCGCGCTTGGCCGTGCCCTCCCCTGCGGCCCCCGAGCGCCGCGCGCCAAGGGCCACCTCCTGGCCCAGGGCCATTCTTGTGTGCACAGCCAGCGCGAGATTCATGAACGACCCTCGAGCTGCAAGAGCCGGGGGTCAATGCAAACGGGGGTCAGCCAGAGCGCCCGATCTTGCAGAATACTGCAGAGCCAGGGGTGCAATCGACCCAGGCCAGCGCGCAGCCTCCTACAGGATTGTGCAGGATCTTGCAAAGCCCGATCGACCCGGGCTTGTATTGACCCTGGTCTGTATTGACCCGGGTCAGTGCGTCCCCGAGGCTGGAATGAGAAGGGTACCCTCTTGTTCTTCGTACCTGGGCTCTCCACCTGGGATTGTTCTTCAGCTCGGGCATCTTGAAGACAGAGAGACAGAACCTGCGAGTGCACGCCATCGAGGGCGCTGCAGGCGGGCGCCGTGGCGCCAGAAAGTAAAACAACGTGCCGCGCAATGGAGAATCAAGCAGTCAAAATCATGCTCTACTCACGAATGGGTTCTCGAGTGACCCCCCATATCTTTGTTCGGGCAAGATCAACCCAGCTTGGTGCACAGCAGTTTTGTTCAGACAAAATAAGACCCCGCAGCTCATCAGATCAACGTTTCTTTGGGGGGCCCCGGCGTCTGCCGGTCATCTTTGAGTGCCAGTTGACCTTGGGCACTGTGCGACGCGGCCAATACAATTGCCCCAATTTCGCGTGGCCATGGCCTCGACGAGCACTGCGAGCATCGGGGACCGAGGGGAGGAGAGCTGGGCCGTGGCCCTCATGCTCCAGCAGATGGAGCGGGACGAGTTCGAGAGGCGCTCGGCGCCAGCCCTCGCCACGCCGCCGCTGGTTCGCCGCCGCCGTCCTCGTCGTCGCCACCGTTTTCGTCGTCGTCCTCGTCGGCGTCGTCGTCGTCGTCGGCGTCCTCGTCGTTGTCGTCGTCGCGTCGTCGTCGTCACCGTCCTCGTCATCGCCAATTACCGCCGTTGCCGTCGCCGTCTCGATCCGCGATCGGGGATCGAGGTTCGAGGGTCCTGGACGTCTGGGGCCCCATGCTGGGCCGTCGGGGGGGGGAGGAGCGTCTGGAGGCCCTCCCGCAGAGGCCCTCCGAGGGCCTCTGGAGGGAGCCCCCGCCCAGGCCTCGAGGTGGCCTCTGTAGACCTGCGGGGGGCTGCCTCGTCCCGTCGTCGGTTTTTGTCGGGCCGCTGCCTCTTTGAGCGCCCTGTCGGCTGCGCGGCGGCGGCTGCAAGTCGCTCTCGACCTCCCGTACCACCCACCGTCGTCGTCGTCGTCGTCGTCGTGACGCCGCTGCCTTTTGGGGCGCCCTCTCCGCGGCGCTTCGGCGAGCTGTCGCTCGGCCTTCCACAGCCCCCCCCCCACCTGGCCCCTATCCAAGACTTCTCGGCGTCGCGGCGAGGAGCACGGCTGGCAGCTGGTCCATGTTGCTTGACCTCTAGATGATCGCTGCGGGCACCGCGCGCATACAGAAAAAGGCCTGCGACGAATGCGCGATCCAATGGACGGGCGTCCGAGTTCCAGCGCCCGCGTCGTGGAGCAGGAGGCACGGCGTCGGGGCTCGGCGTCCTTGCTTAGCCCTGGTCAGCTCTCCCTGGCGTCCAGGGCCTGAAGTCTACGTCGGCGCGGTGCCTTCCGAAGGCGTCTGGCTAATTCTGACCTGCCTTCTCCCCGCGATCGGGAAGGAGCTCCTAGATGAGATTACCTGGTTGCGACTCTTCATGCCAGAAGCCTATGACAGGCCACTCCCCTACCCCGCCATGCCCTCTGAGGCCCGCCCCGAGACATTGCGCGCCCCCTGGGCGCCGCAGGCAGGGCGTAGCTGCCCAGAGCAGGGCACCGCTGCCGTAAACTTGAAGGGCTCCCTTGGCAAAGCTCCGCCCAACATCACAGGCTGGGCACGGCCGCCGCACGAAAGCTCCGACCCCTGGCACTTGGCCTCTGCACTTTCCGGGCCCCGCCGGGCGCTGCCCTCCGTGGTCGCATGTGCACGCGCACGCGCTGGACAATCAGTTTGTCGTGCGCCTCCGACATCTTGAGCGCCCGTGCGGAATGCCCCTGCCATGTCGCGACAATAACAAGTATACGCGCGCACGCACGCGTGCGCGCAGTCACCGCTCCCCTGGTGAATCGTCGCTCTGCGAGTGCTCCTCGCTCCCGGATGTCGCGTCGCTCTCGAGGTGCCCCCGCCGCTCGAAGGCCGTGACGGTCTCTCTCCCTCGCCCCTGCTCCGCCCCCGCCTCCACGCACTTAGTAAATTCCTCCCCGCCGGGCCGCTGGACAAGTCGGTAGACTGGGCTGGGCGTTTCGTTGCCAGTTTCCTCGCCGCCTGCGGTGCCGAAGCCTGGAGTTTGCGTCAGCTGCGGGGAGTGAGGGACGGCGGCCGCTTCTGTTTCAAGACGTGGCTCTCGCCCCATCGTTACGGCCATTCGGTCTGAAGGTTCACAGGGATTTCAAGTTTTGGTTCTCTCCTGAGACTTCCTTTTAAGTGTTTGGGCCGAAGAAGCGCCGAATTGCGCACTGTCACACGAGCGGAGAGCGGCCTCTGTTCAACGCGGGTTTCTCGTCTACCACTCCTTTCAATTTCGCTGCCGTGCTCCTTCGCATTCGTTGTCGCAAGACTGATGCAGGGCAGTGCCTTTGCAAAGCGGGGCTCTCGCCTGAACGGCAGGCCCACGAGGTGCTGGTGCCAGGGAGTGTCTTCCGTAGTTAATGTGAGCCAGACGGATTCAAAACGTTGTGCAACCTAGGTGGTGTGTAACCTAGGTGGTGCAATCAATGTTGTGCAATCTACATGGTACAATCCATGTGTTGCAGTCTGTGTGGTGCAGAGCAATGAACAGCAGCGCATTGCAAAGCAACGCGATGTACAGCAATGCAGCTCAACGCAATGCGATTGCAATGCAAGTCAATGCAATGCAATACAATGCGATTGCCATTCCATGCCATTGCAACGCAATGCGATTGCAATGCAATGCAATGCGATGCATAGCAACGCAAAGCAACGAGATGCAACGCAGTGCAATGCAAAGCAACTCGGCGCAAGTGGCGGCGACGGACGGCGGCGAAGGAGGCGACGGACGGCGGCGACAGTCAGTCACAAGCCAGCCACAAGCCGGCTGGGGCGGCGCCGGTGCCAGGTTACGGCGGCCATGGACGGCGGGGACGGGCAGGGACGGGCGACCACAAGACGGTCAGGGCGGCACAGGGGCCCAGTTACTCTGGAAGAGAAGTAAGAACCCTCAAGTGCAAGCACTGTTGGGGGAAAAACTAGCCCCTTCATAGACTTCTGTGGAGTGGAGTTAGGACAAGAGGGCGTATTGCAGCATCTTGGATGCATCCTGGATTAGTGCTAGGGCTCCTCCACATCCTCCTCCCTTCCGATGCACAAGCAGCGGGTCGTCTTGCCTCCCAGCTGTGAGGGTCTCTCGCTTCGCCACGTTCCTGCGCCTTCCTGCGTCTGATCGTCAGTTCCTGCGGCCTCGTCCCTCTCGTCCTCCTTGCCCTCTACTTCCTCGCTCTGGTCTCGCGCCTTCACGCCTCTGCCTCCTCACGTGCCCCATGCCCCCTCGCCGGTGTCGTCCCCGGTGTGCTCGCCCCCCGTCGCATCCTTCCCGTTCCCCCTCCCGTCGCCTTCGATACCCTCTTCGTGCTCCCCGGTCCTCGGCAGCCGACGCCATGGCCATGGCAGAGGCGCCGCGTCGGAGACGAAGTCACGACTTGGGCTTCCCACCCCGCCGTTTGCGTGGGAGGTCTCGCCCTGGATCCGCACATACGCTCGGACAACGGCGCCCGCACGCCTCCGGGGACACAGCCCAGCTTTTCGGGCCGCGCCCCGAAGGCCTCGACGACTTCGACGACGACGACGACGATGACGACGACGGGGAGGTCCGATCGGCCCGCCCGACGGCGGCGGGAGCGCCAGTGGCGTCGGCGGGGACGGCCCCCGAAGGCTGCGGCAGGAGCGGGTGAGGGCCGCGGCGGTGGCGGACGAGGCGGTTGGGCCCGTTCGCCGCCGCCCCTCCTCTCTCGAGGGCAACGTTCGGGGGGGGGAGGCTCAGGGGACTCGGGCAGGGGAAGCGTCAGAGTCGAGCAGTGGCGAAGCGTCCTGGCCTGCCTATAGGCCCAAGAGAAATGTGATAAGAACCTTTTTGCGGTTTGCACGAAATGTTCTTAGAACATTTCTGGTTGAGACCATCTCTTTTTAGTACATCGGGTTGGTGTTCTAAGGGCATTGCTTTGTGTTTGAAACATGTTCTTGTTCTGAAAACATTTTTTGCGTGGTAGGCCTGTAGGAATACTGGGACGGTCGGTCCTTGCTCAAAAAAGATTCGAGTTCGCCAGAGCTCGGGATTGCCAACGCTTGTAGACTAGCCCGCCCTAGATTTTGACGGTCCAGTTTTCGTGGGATCTTTGCAGCGGGAGTTCGTGTTAGATTTCAGACCGAGTCTCGTTATTTTCTTGCGGGCGCCGTCAGGCCAACCCGGGTCCCCCGAAGTTGAGTCTCACGCCGATCCGATCGAGGTTCGAGATTTTCGGGCGTCTTCGTCGGTTCTCGGCGGCTTTCCGGCCTTGGATGCCTTCAGCAGCTGCGCCTCGCCGAGTCCGAGAATTTTCAGCGGGTGCGTGGATCGTCCCGAACGGCCGCCGGAGAGCCGAGCCATGATTCGAAAATCAAGCGGTAACGTTCGGGGGGATAGTTCCAGGAAGGAACTCATCGGCTTGGCCCCGAATCGCCTGTGTACTCATGACCTGTAGGGGCCCGATAGCGTACCCCGCCCAGGAGTTGAATTGACAAGTCCACAGGTGTGAGTTTAGTTCGACAGGGTGTGTGCGCGTGGGAAAAATATTTGATCAGGATGTTAGGAAATTGTTTGTTCCCCAGCTTCCTTCTCATATTGCAAAATCGTTTCATAATCACGCTACCGCTGACATAAAAAAACATATACGCATCACGAGGTGGTGATGCATATCTAGTGCATGTCGGGTGCGGGGCTTCCAACGTGATCATCGCAATCATCACAGTCGAATGCTAAAACACGTCCGCTTTACGTGATACCCAATACGATTGTGTGAACACGTCGGGGTCTTTCCGTACTTCGGGGGAGGAGCGAGCCATCAGTCGGCAAATTTTGGGGCACCGCTGTTTACAGCCACATCCGCGAACAGTTGTAATGGGGGGCCTGCTGAGGAGCTACATGCAGTTCCTGGTCTTGGCAGGGGTCGCGGGAGAGGCCAAGGGCGATGACATGGCTTGACTGCGAGCCCAGGTGCGCGCTTGAAAATCAAAGTTGGCAGGCAAAGGACAACATTCTTCGCATTCGAACGGGCTACGTCCGAGTCTTCTGGCACGCTGTCGAGGCTAGACTTCGAGGTGCTTGTGGTTCGCAGCGTTTTCGGCGATAGCTTTTTAGACCCAGGTTCAGACCGCATAATCGATTCTAACAAATCCATACGGTTTCACGACCGCCATCTCGAAGATAGGGCTTCTGTCAGTCACCACTTGGCGCAAGCTCGTTCGTTGGCAAATTTCGCCAGGTGCATGGCTCTCGCCAGTGCCTGCCCGTTGCAAACACCAGCATTGCGCGAGGCAGAATATTGGCTCGGTCTGCGGTCAGTGCGCGGGGCCCTGGCATGCGTTTCGACACGAATGGAATGCTGGAAAACGCCGTCGCGGAATTGAAGTGGGTGCGTTGTTCTGCCACAAAAGCACAATGTGATGCGCAACCTACTGTTTGGATGGAAAGCAGCGTGCAGATGCACACGCTCCAGTTCAAAATCATAAGGGGCAAATGGTGATGGCAAACACACGGTTTGTCCTGTAAGCCTGTTGCGCGCGCAGCGTTAATTTGATTATGCAACGTTTTACGAGGGACTCTTAGATAGTGAAATCGCCAACTTGGTCGCGTCAGCCATTTTTCCCGTCTTCGCGAAGGCGCGACGACTACACCAAGGCGACCAAACCGATTACAGCACGAGTCAATGGTTCTTGGTTTATCCAGGTGCAATCCGTGCCCCGCGACGGAGTCCGATAGCAGGAGCACGCAAGGAACTGTTAGAAGACAACCAGAGGCGCTCGATTTGCTTGAGCAAGAGGAAGCTTCCATATTACCCAAAGACAACGAAGACTCGTGGGAGTGGCGAGTGTATTGACATGCGTGGGCAGCCGTCAGATGGCATTGGCAGCGCAACAGCAATTTATCTTCCCATCGGTCAGCAGTCGCCGCCCCCCTTGAACTTCACTTCAAGGGGCTCGTGGAAGCCAGCGCTTGCACGTTCAGGGGGCCTTCGACAACGCAGGTTTTTTGCTGCTTCGACGAGGCATTCATGGCCGGGAAGAGGACCGGCGCACCTGCTGCAGCGCAGGGGAGAGACGGGGAGTCGTTCGCAGCAAAGCAAGTATAGCGATCGAAGGAATTTGCATCGCACTTCCTGGCATGGGCCCAAAGGCCAGTCCCAGGGGGCACGGGGTCCAGATGGGCACTGGAACGACGGAGCCCCGCCAGCCCTTCCTCAACGCAGTTTTCAAATCTGACGGCGGTAGGAGCACGTTCGTGAAGTTCTGCGGGCCCCCAGGGGCCGGACTGGCATCGACGGCCCCAGCACGCAAGAAACGAAGTGTTCGCGGGGGCAGGCTGCCAATTGTAATTTGCGCACTATCAGGGGGCACCTAGGGGGACACATCATATTGGAGATGGCCGAGTACCTCAATAGGGCCTCAGCGAGGGGCCTTGCCGAGAGCCTGCGCTGCCGCGGCGCGCGAGAACGCCGGCGTCGTTGCCGAGAGCGAGCCAGGCGCCTCGCATCCTAAGTAGTTGTTTCTCCAGAAATCGCGATGGTCGCTGCGAGTCGCTCGCGGCGGAAGGGCCGCGGCGATCGGGGTCGAGGTCGATGCCTAGGCGGCGGGGACTTCGGGGGAGACCTAGAGGGCATTGGATGCGGAGCGCGCTGCGCAAATGTTCCCCTGGGCTCCGACAGCGATGAAGACGGGGAAATCTGCGTTGCTTGACCAGCGGGGCTACCTGCGGCTACGCGCGATGATGCGTTCTCCATGCTACCAACGCCATGCTATGGACGAAACAACGAGGAAGACGTGCTAGGACTGCGCGGAGACAGAGGGGGGATATTATAATTCGCACCCAGCCGAGGTCTATCCTCAGGGGGCAACCTCGACAGAGGTTCTTGCGTTGACCAAGGCAACGAGAGAGTCCAGGACGCAGCGATGCATTACATCGACGTCTGTTCTGTGAAAACAGTGATCCTACAACCCAGCTGCAGAAGAACTGGACTGCCATCCTACTTCAACGCAAAGACCAACTACGACACGTGGCGCGAACATCACAAGGGAGACCTCCCACACATTAAATTATGTGGGGAAGTTGCTGTGCGTCGGGGCGAGATCAGACGATTCTACCTACGAGAACAACTAGTGGGTACTTGGGTGGTGAATACCGCCACGGGCGACGCGAGGGCACTCACGAGGTCAATGTGAACGAAAGCACTACAGGATTTCACGACTCCCGTGGCGTACTGATACGTGAACCTACAGATAATGTCCAATAACCTTTCACAATTGACGCCATTTGACAGCAAAAGATGCATTGACCACCGTCAACCTGCTGCCTCAGTTTTCAATAAGGAATTGGCCAAGGCAGCGCAATGTACTCCGAAGATGCAATCCCTTTCGTCGAGGCAGTTCAAATAGCACATGACATGTTCGCGGTGAACGGCGACCCCCTCCACAATCAGCCCCATACATCATCTGTCATTGTTCCAGCGCGCGCGGGTTTGACTGGACATCCTGACGGACGTATCGTGCAACCGCCATCAGGGGGATGGGGATGTCGCGCATGTGCTGACAATATCAACGCGCACTCTCCATCACACAGCAGAGGCCCCAAACACTGCAGGTGGCGTGGCAAGGGGTGGCCACCACTGGGAATGCGAAAACTGCCAAACGAATTATGGAAAACATAATCATGGCCATAAGCCTGGCCGCCTGCTGGCCTCTGGCAAGTGCAAATTTGCCAGGCCGTGGAGGCTGCCAGACAACCGCCGGCGGGGGCCACCGGCCCCTCCTGAACTGGCAGCGCCACCGCCTGCGGCGGCAGCTGCTTCCTAGGCGTCACCACCTGCGGCGGCAGCTGCTTCTGAGGCACCAGCCGCCAAGCAAGTTGATCGGCTACGTGCCCTGAAGCGCGGTTTCAGAGCTGGTCCGACTGCTGGCGCCATCAGCCGCGACATCATAGTGGGCGCACATGCTGCTGAGCCAAGTGGCGCCAGCAGCTTGGATGACCACATACGATTACCATAGGTAGCAGCCAGACGTGGGCGACGGCAGGGAGGTGATCCCGCCTCCTGCGGGTGACCCTGCTGCTCAGCTAAGACTTGCCGGACTGGTCAGGGTTCGATGTGCAGATCAGTCTCCGGAACCTGCGTAGCTTGGACCCATAGCGCGCGAGGTACTGAAACTACGCGTTCGATGGTTCCACGCTAAAGAGCCTAAGATGGGACTCGTCCTAACCAAGGCTGGTCTGGACAGTGCGCGGCTGAACCTGATTAAAGGCGTCTGCGACACATGCCGAGAGCGCGGGGTCGAGGATAAGCCTGGGCAGACAGCAATGCCATCTACCTCGCGACCCGGCAAATTCAATGATGAAGTCGAATGCGACCGAATGTCTTACAACCAGTAAGGTAGTCCAGAATTGACCGTTACATTCGATGCGGCGCTGGCCATGAGATGCCAGACAAAACTGCGACCTGCATCCTACAAGCGCACCATCAGTGCTGGATGCAACTTGGGCCCGCCAGAATATTGTGCCCCGACGGAGAAGGTGCTCTCAACGTCGACGCCGCGAAGGCAGTCCTAGGGCAATGGGCACCGGGTTAAGAATGCGCGCACGTGGACAACATGCTGCCACAATTGAAGCCAGAAGTGGCACATTACGACACCTGCTTCACGTCGTGGAGGATGAACTCAATAGGTTAGACATGC